AAAATATATATATATTTGTTTTTATTTCAGAGAGGAAGGGATAGGGTGAGCAAGATAGAAACACCAATGATGAGAGAAAATCAGTGATCCACTGCCTCCTGCATGCCCCCCACCGGGGACTGAGCCCACAAACCAGATATATGCCCTGACTGGGAATCGAACCGTGACCTCCCGTTCATAGTTAATGCTCAACCACTGAACCACTCTAGCTGGGCAAATTATTTAAACTTTTAAATTTAAATTATAGCTATGAATATATAAGGAACTCATACAAATTAACAAAAAGACAAACAACCCAATTAAAAGATGGGGAAAGGACCTAAATAAATACTTCTCCAACGTGGACATACAGATGGCCAGGAGACATATGAAAAAATGCTCAAAGTCACTGATCATCAGAAAGATGCTAATTGTGGCCTCACCCCATAACAAAGAAACAGAATTCCCAGAGGATGAGGCCCAGAAATCCAGTGGTTCTCAATCTTGGCTGCACATTAGAATCACCTGGGAGTCTTTTTAAAATCCTGATTTCTGGGCCTCATCCTCCGGAAATTCTGTTTCTTTGTTATGGGGTGGGGCCACAACACCCATAACAAAGAAACAGAATTTCCGGAGGATGAGGCCCAGAAATCAGGATTTTAAAAAGATTCCCAGGTGATTCTAATGTGCAGCCAAGGTTGAGAACCACTGGTTTAGAGGGACTTTGCCTAGATAGTGGAGATGGGCGTGCAGAGGGGACAGGCTTTCTTTAGGAAGTCATGCTTAAGCTGACACTTGAGGCTTACATGGTGGAAGAGGCTAGGGAACTCTCTTGAGTCTCTGGTATAAGGGAACTAATCCCATTGATGAGGGCTCCACCCTCATGACCTGGTCATCTCCCAAAGGCTTTAGTGAGGACACAAAGCAGGTGAGAAGGTTCCCACAGAGGAAAGGGACTTAGTGCTTTCAGGGAACTAAGAGGTCAGGGTTGCTTCAGATAATTACAGTGGGAAGGGATTACATTAGACATGGTTCTCCAGAGAAACAGACCAATAGGATGTATATACAGAGAAATTTATTATAAGGAACAGCTTCATGTGTTTATGAAGGCAGGCAAGTCCCAAGATCCGCAGGCGAGTAGGCAAGCTGGAGACCCAGGGAAGCCGAAGGTGTATTTCAGTCTTAAGTCCAGCAGACTTGTGACCCAGGAAGAATTGGTGTTTTAGTTTAAATCCAAAAGCAGGAAAAAAGCCGATGTCCCCGCCCAAAGGCTGTCCTAGCAGCCTGAACAGATAAGACATGGCCCTTTACAGAAAAAAAGTTGCCAGCCCTTGACTAGAAGCCAGAGGGAAGGGGGTGGACAGGTTGGAAACCCAGGAATGGAACAGGGGGGAAGAGCGGCAGGGGGCGATCCCTCCCACCTTCATCCAGGACTGAGAGCACGTTAGGGAAGGCCTCTCAGGGCAGCAGGTAGGACCATACAATGCCTTGGTTGTTCAGAGCCTCGGGGAGGGAAAAGACGCCCCAACACACCTTCGAACATGTCAGCACGTTACAAAGAGATTCACATTGGGATGGTTGTCTCATTTTATTTGTACTTGTGTGTTTTCATATTAACTTAGAAAATGTTCCCTTAAACAAAAATCCATTCTGCCTTATAGAGTCTGACTGCCCTACCCAGGGCTAGGTACTGATCGCCGGGGCAGAGTGACATTTTCCTACAAAGCTGGCTCATTACCCCAGTGCTAGGTACTGATTGGGGCAGAGTGACATTTTCCTACAAAGCTGGCTCATTATTTGGCTTCTGGAATTGCAAATCCAAGAACCAAATGGCACAGTCTGAATACATCGGGGGCGTGAGCGGGGAGTCCCACCAGAGGTGCCCTGAAACAAAGGAAACAACTTCAAAACCACATCATGCAATCTGGACCTGTTACAGGACAGATGGGTCTCTGAATTGTTTGATTCCATGAGCAGAACAGAGGAAGGAAACGTTTTAAAATGAGATTATGTTATTTTCCCCAGTGCTTATTATGAAACCTTCCTGAAATGAACTTTAAATATCGGCAGCCCCTTTCAGGGGAATGAATGGGATTCAGCCAGCAGGGGTTTGCAGGGAAGTGGTTCCATTATGAAAGATGTGGAGAGGCAGAGGTTGAGATGAATAATGGATCCCTGTGGGGTCCTTTGGCTGGGTGAAAAATCAGGCTCTAAAACACAGCAGCCTGTGTGAGGAGAGGACGGGTATCTTTGAAAAAGCTCTGTGCCCCATAAACATTAATTAAGGGGTCCTTTTTCAAAAGACATCAATTGTAATGAATAAAAGGACTCTTGCATTCTTTGCCCTCAAAAGAAAAGTGATTGACAATTAGTTATTGTATAGAGGAGAAAAAAATCCTGCAAGTTATGAAAATCTCCCCCAAATGTAATCACGCAATCATTCTTTATAAGGCTAGGCTGTCTATACAGAATTTTCCAAAGCAAGTTGTCTGTATTAGTCAGCCCCAAACCCTGCTGAATAATGATGATAATAATAATAGTAATAATAAAAATAATAAGGCATTCTGCTAGCATTCTCTAGTCAGTGACTCCCAGGACTAGCCGGGGATTTGTCTCCTTTGCATGGGTGTCCGCCTACACACACCTCTAAATGTTAGGGTTCCCCAAGACCTTCTGAGTTGGAGCCCACATCCAGCTTCTTACCTAACATGGTCACCGAGAAGTTTGGAACATCTGAAATTTAATGAGCTTCCCCATCCTCCTCCCAGTCTTCACCAACTCTGTAAATGGCACCCACATCCAGCCAATCACCACGCTAGAAATTAGGATTCATCCCCTGTTCTATTCTCATCACCGAGCCCTCAGACCATTCTCTGCAGAGTTATGAAGAATGCCTTCTTAAAGCGTAAATAAGACCATAGCACTGCCCTGCTTAAATCCTTCACTGAATTCCCATTGCACTTAGAATAAAATTCAAACTCTTGCCATTAGCCTACAAAGCCTGCATGGTCTTGTCTGGGGATTTCTCAAGCCTTTTCTCAATCACTTTTTCCTCACTCACAATGTTCCAACACCACCAGGGCTTTTCCGTCTTAACACTCTTGTTCCTTCCACTCTGAGCTTCAGTGTTTCCTGTTGGCTGTGCCTGCAGAATTCACCACACAACATCTCAGACCACCACTTTGAATATAGCACAACCTCCTTTTTCTTTTCATTTCCAGGGTTTGGGGCTGAGCTATTACTATTGGAGTTAGAGATGGTCCTCAAATAGCACCCTTTTTCTCTATCAAAGTTCTAAGCCTTTGAGAAATAAGTCAAAGAAGCCAAGCAAATGGAGACAAAATATCACTGTTATTATGACTGACAAAAATGAATCTTTGAAAATGTGGTTTCTAGCATCTGCAAACTAGTGGCTTCCTAACACTAACCTAGGTTCAAGCGGACCCGCCCACCCATCCTAGGCTGTGCTGGGTCAGGGCAGACCCTCACCGGGCAGGGGTCTTGCCCCTAGAATGTTACAGCAGGGAGGGGCAGAGCAGACGCGTGCTGGCCGCAGGCAGACCGGCTCTCCTAGAAGAGGAGGGACTGGATCTGCAAACCCAGTTTCCCTCTCCTAATGCAATTCTTCCTCTAGGAAGTGACGTGACAGGAGGAAACCAGAGGGTTATGCTAGCGAAGCTCCCTCTACATGGAAGGAAACCCTACTGAGCTGCTCTCACTGCCCCCCAATGTCACCCCAGAAGTGCTCACTCTGACTCCCCTCCCCTGAGCTGGACTGGGGGGTCTTCATCCGGCTCTCCTGGCACCCCCCAAATGAGAAACAGCATGAAAGCCCCCAGCAGGTGGGCACAGGCCCTGATGCTCTTTTCCATAGAGAAGGGAAGTCTGCCCTCCTCACACAGGGCTTTGCAAGACTTTTCTTCTTAACATTCGTAAGACAGAAAAAGGGACCGTCAGACACAGGCCGCCCATGACTCTGCGGTTAAATGGTTCCATCCATGGCTCAGTGGTTTGACTTCCTGGCAACAGCATGGGCTCTCACAGATTGAACTGGTCTTTTAAAACCAGGCCGGCTGCATTTGAAGTCTCTCTTCCAAGGAGATTTAAGCCGCCCCCACATGGGGCACAACACGGATGCAGCTCATCCTTCTGCAGGCATTACAGAGAAAGTGGTGTCATCACCACTTGCGATCTACAACCTGTCCAACTCTGTGCTGTCTCACTCTAGCACTCACGTTCTTCTTTGCAAAGGGTAAATATTTAAGCCTGAACGGCTGCAGAGAACGAGGAAGAATGCGCTCACATGTAGGGCAAGCAGCCCGTGGGGGAAGGCTGACCTCCCAGATTGAGGGCAGGAGAAACAGAGTTATTAATATGGAAGTCACAACCTAGATGAGACAAGGCCGTTCCCAGGACAGAGGAAAGCTTAGCCCTGCCCCAGCCCCCACACTAGGGGACCCTGTGAGCCAGAGGACTAAACAGAGGACTAATCAGAGACCCACTTCTGTGTGTATACACAATAGCACTGAAGACAGGGACTCAACCAGACATGTGTGCACCTATGTTCCTAGTAGCTCTATTCATTGCTACTGAGAAAGCCCCAACACTGCACAGATAGACATACACTTACATCTAGGCATGTCAATTTGTACAATAAATCCTTAAAGAGCAACCGCCAGCCCACATTGTTCCACAGGCACCCTCCAACCAAGCAATCCTTTAGTGACTTTCAAACAGGTCTTGGTGATTCTGTTAACCATCAGCTTTCCACAACTGTCCAACTGAGGAGGGAATGGATGCCCAGGGAGACTTAACCGAGTCTGCAGCCTTCGTAGGCATGACCCTGCGTCTAAAGCAATATTGAAATCGTGCCTGCACTTCACCTGGAATGCCATTCCCTGGATAATTTGTCAGACATTTCTGAGTTCTTACTCTGCCAGGCCACACAGAAAGGAGCAGATCCTTAAAGCATAAATTGGATGAGGTAAATATTAGAGGGATGGTTTGGAGGTGGCAGGCGGATGGCATTCAGAGGGGACCACATGAGCAAAGGCATTGAAAGGGAAAAACTGAGCAACTATGTGGAAATCGCAAAGACCGGGATGTGCAGCCAGGCCAGAACTCAGTCTGTACCCTACAAGCAGTGGTAAGTGACAAGATCTGGGGCCAGTGGGGAAGCTGGACTTGCAGGAACCAGGACAGGTGGCACAGACATGGGTTAGAAGGCTGTCGCTGCAGCCAGTGTTCCAGGGAAGCCTTGTAAGGTGAGAGGTTTAGGCTGGTCCTTAAAAGATCCAGACCGGATAGGCAGTGGCATAGGAAAATGAAAAGGTCTGTTTGGGCTCGGCTGGTGTGACTCAGTGGTTGAGCATCGACCCATGAACCAGAAGGTCACCCCCTAGTCCGGGCACATTCCCAGGTTGCAGGCTCAATCCCCAGTTGGGGGCATGCAGGAGGCAGCCGATCGATGATTCGCTCTCATCATTGATGTTTCTATCTCTCTCTCCCTCTCCCTTCCTCTCTTTGAAATCAATAAAAACATATCTTTTTTTTTTTAAAGGCTTGTTTAGGTTGAGTGAGGACCCACCTAGGGAGTGGGTTTGGGGTCTCATCTGTGGTCCTGGAGTCACGGGGCAGAGTAAGTAGCCGTCTGAGGTGGGTACAGACAACTGCAAACAGACTCCCACTTCCATTATATCTATTAATGTTCTTTTTTTAAAAAAAATAAGTCTTAATTGTTCAGATTATTACAGTTGTTCCTTTTTTCTCCCCATAGCTCCCCTCCACCCAGTTCCCACCCCACCCCATGCCCTTCCTCACCCCCCATTGTCCTCGTCCATAGGTGTTCGATTTTTGTCCCGTCTCTTCCCACACCCCTCACATCCCCTTCCCCCTGAGAATTGTCAGTCCACTCCCTTTCTATGTCCCTGATTCTAATATATTCACCAGTTTATTCTGTTCATTATATTTTTTATTCACTTGATTTTTAGATTCACTTGTTGATAGATATGTATTTGCTGTCACTTTGTTGTTCATAATTTTTATCTTTACCTTTTTCTTCTTCTTCCTCTTCTTAAAGAATACCCTTCAGCATTTCATATAATACTGGTTTGGTGGTGATGAACTCCTTTAGCTTTTTCTTATCTGTGAAGCTCTTTATCTGACCTTCAATTCTAAATGATAGCTTTGCTGGGTAGAGTAATCTTGGTTGTAGGTTCTTGCTATTCATCACTTTGAATATTTCTTGCCACTCCCTTCTGGCCTGCAT